GGGTCCTGTCCCCTCCCAGCTCCTCCTCCAGTCTGGGGAGCTCCAGCCCCACCACCCATTCCCCCCACCCTGTTAGATGACGCAACACGCCAGTGAGTGATGGAAGAAGCCAAGCAAATGACAGAAACAGCCGCATTAGGGGTGTGACAGAATGACTGATGATTTAATGCTTCTTGAAGTTTTTTGTTTCCTTCCACAGGGCATTGGTTTTAAAAACAAACAAAATGAGGTAAAATAAATTAATTTATGTACACTTTACATACACTGTGTCACGTGGAGCTTTGCAGCAACAGTAACCAGAAATTGTTACAAAATAGAAAGTTACATGGCTGTTGCAGGCCCTCAGCAGCCTGCAACCTAGAAGGTTGTCATCCTGAGCGTGGTTGTCAAAGTGATCATGTAAACATGTTTAGAAGCATTTACGGTGGACGATGGATGGGCCAGCTTCATCGTACTCCTGCTTCGTGATCCACATCTGCTGGAAGGTGGACAGGGAGGCCAGGATAGAGCCACCGATCCAGACAGAGTACTTACGCTCGGGTGGGGCAATGATCTAGAAAAAGCCAAGAGAGCCGAGATCAGTAAACAGGCGACCGCTGCGGGTGGCGGGCACAGGGGCGTGCGCAGCCCCGGCCGCCGTTTGCAGGAGGGCAAGAGAAGGCGATGCCCGTGCCTGGGCCCTTCACGCTCTGGCCTTACCTTGATCTTCATTGTGCTGGGGGCCAGGGCTGTGATCTCCTTTTGCATGCGGTCAGCAATACCTGGGTACATGGTGGTACCCCCAGACATGACGTTGTTGGCGTACAGGTCCTTCCTGATGTCAATGTCACACTTCATGATGCTGTTGTAAGTGGTCTCATGGATCCCTGCGGACTCCATGCCTGGGGGCAGGGAAGGGGAGAAAAGCAGGCACAAGTTAAGGGCCCAGCCAGAGCTCAATGGGAGGACTGGGGAGAGAGGGCAGAGCTGGTAGGGGAGGAGAGAGGGAAGGGGGCACACACACCAATGAAGGAAGGCTGGAAGAGGGTTTCCGGGCAGCGGAAACGTTCGTTGCCGATGGTGATGACCTGCCCATCAGGCAGCTCGTAGCTCTTTTCCAGGGAGGAGGAAGAGGCAGCGGTGGCCATCTCGTTCTCAAAGTCCAGCGCCACATAGCACAGCTTCTCCTTGATGTCACGGACGATCTCACGTTCAGCTGTGAGGGGGGAGCAAAGGCATCAGTGATTGCAAAGGAGGAACAGGGAACACTTGCATCATCTCCACAGGTCTGCTGGGCCTCCAGAACCCCAACAACAGGCAAACTCCCAACGGGGAGCGCTCGTGGGGCTTGCAACAGGACGAGAGGCTGCAGCACCCCTGGGGGTGCAAAGGCTGGAAGAGAGAGATGGAGGAACATTTTGAAGGAGGGAATAGTGCTTACCTGTGGTGACGAAGGAATAGCCACGCTCAGTCAGGATCTTCATCAGGTAGTCAGTGAGGTCCCGGCCAGCCAGATCCAAGCGCATGATGGCATGGGGCAGGGCATACCCTTCATAGATGGGGACGTTGTGCGTCACACCATCGCCGGAGTCCAGCACGATACCTGGGGAAACAGAAAGCAGCCACCTGAGAGGCAGCCCACGAAGGGCCCTGCGCCCTGGGGGGAGGCAGAGCACACGTCAGCTGTAGGGGACTCTACAGCCCCAGGCGTCCTTGCTGGGGGAGGAAGGGCCACGGGAGACTCACTCACCAGTGGTACGGCCAGAGGCATACAGGGACAGCACAGCCTGGATGGCCACGTACATGGCAGGGACATTGAAGGTCTCAAACATGATTTGGGTCATCTTTTCACGGTTGGCTTTGGGGTTAAGGGGGGCCTCAGTGAGCAGGGTGGGGTGCTCCTCAGGGGCCACGCGCAGCTCATTGTAGAAGGTGTGGTGCCAGATCTTCTCCATGTCGTCCCAGTTTGTGATGATGCCATGCTCAATGGGGTACTTCAGGGTCAGGATACCTCTCTTGCTCTGGGCTTCATCTCCTACGTAGGAGTCCTTCTGACCCATACCCACCATGACGCCCTGCAGGGGAGGAAAGGGGGGGAGGGCTCAGCAACCTCTCCACAGGTGGCGGCGTGGGGCTCCCTGGCAGCCCAGGCTGGGAGGCGGCAGGCACCTGCTGCGGCAGGGTTTGGGGGGATGCTCGGAGGGGGACGGCGCCCTACCTGGTGTCGGGGGCGGCCCACGATGGAGGGGAACACGGCCCTGGGGGCGTCATCCCCGGCGAAGCCGGCCTTCACCAGGCCGGAGCCGTTGTCGCACACGAGCGCGGTGGTCTCGTCCTCGTCGCACATGGTGC